ATGCTTATTTAGTTGATAGAATTAGAGATAACTTACATATTATTTTATGTTTCTCACCAGTAGGTTAGAAATTCAGAGATAGATCTCGTAAATTCCCAGCATTGTTTAATGAATGTACAATTGATTGGTTCTTGCCATGGCCTGAAGCTGCTTTGGTTAGTGTTGCTGAAACATTTATAAAGAATTTCAAAGAATTAGATACAACAAATGATATTAAGGAAGAATTAATGAAACATATGGGTAATGTTCATATTATGGTTAATTCAGTATGTGAACTTTATTTCTAAAAGATGAGAAGATAGGTTTATGTAACCCCAAAGAGTTATCTTTCTTATTTGAATTCATATAAAGAGTTATATTTGAAGAAATATGCAGAATTAGATTTATAAGAAAATTCATACAAGATTGGTTTGAGTAAGATTAATGAAGCAGCTAAGTAAATAGAAAAGATGGGTGTATCTCTAAGAGAGGAAGAGGCTTAATTAAAAGAAGCATCAGAAAAGACTGAAAAATTATTAGAAGATTTAGAAAAGGAAAGCAAGAAGGCTAATTAAAAGAATGATGAAGTAGAAGCAACAACTGCTTAATGTATGAAGTAGGCATAAATGATTGCAAGTGAAAAACAAGCAGCCGAAAAAGATTTAGCAGCTGCTATGCCTGCACTTATTAGAGCTTAAGAAGCTGTTGATTCATTAGATAAGAAAGATATTGATGAAATGAAGGCTATGAAAACTTTGATGGATATTATGAAAGCTATTATAGATTCTATTGTTGTATATTTCATGGGTAAATTATTACCAGTTTAATCATTCACAGTTAAGATCAGTAAGGTTGATTATCCATTTTTAAAGGATTCATTTGATGAAGGTGGTAAATCAGTACTATTTGATATGAACTTTTTAAATAAATTGAAAGGATTTGAAAAAGATGGAATCAACGAAGAAACTATTGAATTATTATAACCATATATGTAACAAGAATGGTTTACTGAAGAAAAAGCATAAAGTGCTTCAAAGGCTGCTTAAGGTCTATTGAAATGGGTTAAGGCTATTTATGAATATCATGAAAAATCAAAGATTGTAAAACCAAAGAAAGTTTATTTATAAATTTAAGAAGGTCGTCTTGAAGTTGCAAGAAAAGAATTGGCTAAGGCTGAAAGAGATTTAAATGAAATTAAAGAATATTTGGCAAAATTAAAAGAGACATTCAATAAATAAATGGAAGAAAAATCATTTTTGGAACAAAAATCAAACAAAACCAAAAAGAGAATCACTACAGCTAGATAATTAATTGAATCATTAGTAGATGAAAAAACTAGATGGGGATAAGGAGCTACAGAAATAGCAGATCAAAAACGTAAACTGATTGGTAATTGTTCATTGGCTACATCATTTATTTCTTATTGTGGTCCATTTAATGCAGAATATAGATAATTATTGGCAGGTGATTACTTTGTAAATGATCAAAAGAGAAGAGGTGTTCCAGTTACACCAGGTTTAAATCTAACCTAATTCTTGGTAGATGATGCAACAGTAGGAGAATGGAATTTATAAGGATTGCCTAAAGATGAATTATCTATTCAAAATGGTATCATGGTTACCAATTCAACTAGATATCCTTTATTAATTGATCCATAAGGTTAAGGTAATTACTGGATCAGACAAAAATTTGCTGATAAAATTGAACCTTTTAGATGTATAACTACATTGAATCATCCTAAATTTAAAGATAATTTCTTGAAACCTTGTATGTAGGATGGGTTGTGTTTAATTATAGAAAATATCGAAAATGAAGTTGATCCGATGTTAGATCCAGTTTTAGAAAAGTAAATTTAAATCAAAGCTAAAAAGAATAAGTATATTGAGGTAGGAGGTACATAAATGGATTTTGAAGATGGATTTAAATTGTTTATGTTTTGCAGATTGGCTAATCCTACATTCTCTCCCGAATTATCAGCTAAAACAACTATAATTGATTTCACTGTTACTCAAGGTGGTTTAGAATAGTAATTACTTGGTAAAGTTATCAGTAAAGAATAAAAGGCATTAGAAGATTCTCTAAATTAATTGCTAGCAGATGTCAATTAGAATAAGAAAGATCTATAAAGATTAGATAAGAATTTATTAGAGAGATTGACTTAATCTTCTGGTAATCTTTTGGAAGATGAAGGTCTAATTGAAGTTTTGGGAAGCACAAAGACTTAAGCAAAAGAAGTGTCAGTTAAATTATAGGATGCTGAAGTCAAAACAAAAGAAATTAATGAAAAGAGAGAATAATATAGGCCTGTAGCTATCAGAGGTTCAGCCTTATATTTCACAATTTTGGAAGTATCTCTTATAAATTGGATGTATAATTCTTCTTTAGAATAATTCTTGAAGTTATTCAATGATTCAATTGATCTATCTGAAAGAAATACTTTACCATCAAAAAGAGTAGATAATATTATTAAATTTTTAACATTCCATGTTTATAAGTATGTTAATAGAGGTCTATTTGAGAAAGATAAGATTTCTTTTATATTGATGATGTGTTTCAAAATTAAATAAACTGATAAGAAAATTAATGCTGGAGATGTATCTCAATTTTTAAAGAGTGGTGCTGCATTGGATGCTAAAGCTGAAAAAGCAAAGCCTTTATAATTCTTAGATGAAAAATAATGGCTTAATATACTAGCATTATCTCGCCATCATTTTAATGGAGATTAAATGGCATTCTTCAGAGATCTACCTGAATCTATTGCTAGAAATGAATAATAATGGAAACAATGGAATGATAGAAATGATCCTGAAAATTCACCAATACCAGACTTTGCTGAACGTATTGCAGCTGATAAAGAAACTGGTCCATTCATTTCTCTATGTTTAGTACGTTCACTTAAGGAAGATAGAACATTAGTTGCTGCTACTCATTTTATCAATGCCACTCTTGGTAAAGAATTTACTGCTCCAATTTCATATCCTATTGATTCCATTTGGGCTGAAAGTTCTAAAACTGATCCAGTATTATTCTTATTATCTGCTGGTGCTGATCCTACTTCATCTATTGATGATCTATCTAGAAAGAAGAGAAAAGTATTTTGTGAAAAAGTATCAATGGGAGAAGGTTAAGAAGAAGCAGCTAGAAGAGTCATTAAAAATGGTTTTGAAACTGGTATGTGGGTTATTTTATAAAATTGTCATTTGGGTCTCAAATTTATGGAAGAAATAGAAACTATTGTTACTCCAGAGGCTACTATTAATGATGACTTTAGATTATGGATCACTTGTGAATAACATCCTAAGTTCCCATTAGGTTTATTGTAAAAGACTATCAAAGTTACTAATGAACCACCTAAAGGATTGAAAGCTGGTTTATATAAGACCTTTACTACTATTATCACATAGGAATTCTTAGAAAAGGTTGAACATCCAAATTGGAGAAGTCTCATTTATACAATTTGCTTTTTACATTCTATTGTTATTGAAAGACGTAAATTCGGTCCTCTTGGATGGTGTGTTCCTTATGAATTCAATAATCCTGATCTTGAAGCATCACTTGCATTTATTGAAAAATATTTGAATTCATTCCTTAGTGGACCTCCATCATAATCACCTAACTTAAATTTAAATATGAATGTTATAAGATACATGATTTGTGAAGTTTAATATGGTGGTCGTATTACAGATGATTTAGATAGAGAATTGTTTAATGCTTATGGTGAAGATTACTTAAAAGAAGCAATATTTGGAAATGAATATGTTATTGCAGAAGCACCATATGATGCAGGAGGAGGTACTAAACCTACTAAATTCTAATATAAAATACCAGCTACCACTTAAATGCCAGAACTGATTAAATATCATGATGTCATTAAATAATTACCTGACATTGATAATCCTGAAGTATTTGGATTACATGTTAATGCTGATATTACTTTTAGAAAGAAAGAATCTACTGAAATGATTATAACAATCATGGATACAAGACCAAAGGATTCTGGTGGTGGTGGAGGAAAAACAAGAGAAGAAATAGTCTAGGATAAAGCTAGAGAATTATTAGCTAAATTACCATAAGACTATATTGATTTGGAAGTGAGAGAATAAGTTCGTAAATTAGCTGGTCCAAAGAATTTGCCAGATAAGGGATTGACAGTTCCACTTAATATTTTCTTATATTAAGAAATTCAAAGAATGCAAATAGTTATTGCAATATGTAGAAAAACATTATCAGATGTAATAGATGCAATAGATGGTCAAATTATTATGACTCCAGATATTTTAGATGCTATAAATTCAATGTATGATGCAAAAGTACCTCTTACTTGGGTTTATGATGCCACAGGAGTAGAAATTTCATGGATTTTACCTACTCTAGGTGCTTGGTTTAGTTCATTAATAGATCGTAATAAATAATTAAATGATTGGTTAAAGAGTAATAGGCCTAATCACTTTTGGCTTGGTGGTTTCTTCAATCCTCAAGGATTCTTGACTGCTGTAAAATAAGAAGTTACTCGTATGCATAAAGGTAAACCTGGAGATAAAGATGCTTGGTCATTAGATGATGTTGTTCAATCTACTTAAGTTAAAGAAAGAGATTATGAATCAATTAGAGATATTTAATCAGAAGGTGTTTATGTTAGTGGATTATCTCTTGAAGGATGTAAATGGAGTAGAAATGGACTTGATGAATCAGAGCCAAAGAAAATGTTTGCTCCTTTACCAATTCTTTATGTCACCGCTGTTAATAAAAAGAAAGGTGCTGATGCTGAAAAAAATTCATCCACTTATAGTTGTCCTGTTTATAAGGTATATTTATTTTTCTATTTATTTTAGTATCCAAGAAGAACTGACAAATATCTCATTTGTAGAGTAGGATTGCCTTGTGAAGGTACTGGTGCTCATAAATGGAAACTCAGAGGAGTGGCACTCTTATGTTCAACTGAATGAGATTTTAATATATATTATATATATTATTATAAATCAATCGTCATCTATATTTAATAATTTTATATAATTCATTCTATGAATCCATTAGCTACTTTGAAATTTGTCAATATTGAAAATAGTGATTTATTACATCATTTTCCTATTGATCCAAATGCTGATATCATTTTAGTTTTGAATGGCAAAGAAACATTTTAGTTGTAGATCAATTTACTCAAAAAGAAAAGTTAATATTTTGAAACATAATTACTTAATAGTGACTCTAAATTTAAAGTCATTCCTGGAAAACATGATACAATAGTTTTTTAAAAAATACTCAACTGTTTTTATGGTTATCAATATCACATCTATAAAGATGAAGAATTTTACTCTGCTTATAAAATTTCACACTTTCTATAAATTAATAATTTTATTGCCACTCTATAGGATTCATTATATGAAAATTTCTAAAGAATAGATATCCATATTGTATTAACACTAGCTGAATTATATGAAATTGAATCATTAAGAGAAAAATATATTGATTTTTTAGATGAGAATCCACAATTATGGAAAATTATCTTGCCTGTTCAAAAATTAGAGTTTTATAGATAGAACTACTTTTCTATTTGTGGTACTAAATAAAATGATGATATTCCTATAAATGTGTTACATTTAAAAGAAGATATTTTAATTAAACTTCTAACATTTCACAATGAATAAAAGAATAAGAAATCCTTCCCTGAAAAGTTCTTAACTCCAGATGATATCTTGAAAATTATACAGTATTATGTAAATATTAGATTTCAAACTTAAGAAGAAAGATAAGAAAATACTATTAAAATTGTGAACTCTATTTACAGGGTTGAAGACATCTATTCTGACAATGATGCTAGAAGATTACAAACCTTCATGGCCAAATCTTTTTCAAATAGTGTTAATTCATGTAAAATTTTTATCATCTCTAAGCTTCTTGTTCAGATAGGTCATCAAAGCTTATTATAGAATAACAAAGAGATATTGAAGAACTCAAACTGAAATTATAAGTACTAATTCTCTATTCTATCCTTTAAGTTTACTATCAAAGAGAATCATGAATTATTATAAAAATCTAAAATGCTTGAAGAAAGTATTGAAAACCTGCACCAATATATTTAAAATCAAAAGAAAACAGTTAACAATAGTAGTTGCGATTTAAATAATTCTAAATCTTAGGATATTGAATCCTCCTAATTTATATATTAATAAGTTGCTGAATCAATTCCATTAGATAGTTCTTCAAGTGAATAAAGTGATAATTCATTTTTTAAAAGTCAATTACATTTTAACAGCACACCTCAAACTGTATTCACTTTGTCAGAACTTTCTTATCTTGGAGAAATCTTAAATGCCAAAATTTATTAATAGATCAAATTTAAATTACTATATAGAGGGTATATCTTCATTTTGTGATTAGAACTGAGAATAATTTTTATCTAGTTTCTGAAGAATAATTAGCATCAATTAAAAAAGCCACATCTATTTTAATTCTTATCAGATCAGTAGATAATGATTCGGTTTTTGGAATATTTAGTTAAAATAATAGAATATAAATTATTAATTTTTAGAGTAAAAAAAGGGTAGATTATAAAAAAGAATTAAAATTAGCAATTAATTCAAACTATTTATTAAAGTTAGGTAACGATATTGAGATATTTGTTGATTGTTGTAATAAAAAAAACAATATATGCAATAACATTAACGGAATAGGATGTTTAGCAGGTAAAAATGAATTTCAAGTAGATGAGCTTGAAATTTATGAGTGTTCTATCCATAATGAAATTGTGTGATAGACTTTATTTATTTATATAGAGGTTATTAAATTTCTTTTAATCTTTCTGTATTTACCCTAAAACAACATAAATCATAAATGCATTTTTCTGTTTCAATAACAAAATATATGATAAATAATAATGATATTAAATAAGACACAATTATGTTATCAAATGAATGAAATGTCCCAATTCTAAATGAAATTAGACTTTTCCTATCCATCTTTATAATCTATGTCACAAAGTTCCTAAAATAATATAAATTAAATACATTTTTATAATCCATAAATTTATACCCATTTCTAATATTATTAAAATTATTGCGAATAGTTAGAACTGGAGGCTTATATTACTTAGCTTACAGTCTTATCCAATCTATTTCAGCAAAAAATAAATGTTTCTTGATTTTATGAAAATCAGCTTATGCCAATCTATCTTTAGGAGATTTAATCAATAATAATCTCAAAAGGTCTGTTGCTATAGGACTAATTCCTTTAGGAATTTATAATTGTTCTATAATTTCAAAATTATTTATTTACAATATTTGATATTTTCAATTAAAGTTTTAATATTTGTGCTATAATACGGTGGATATCCTGTAAGCATTTCAAATAAAATAGTTCCTATTTAGTAAATATCAGTAGCTTTAGATGATCCAATACCTTCAATCAATTCAGGTGGTAAATAGGCAGGAGATCCACAGAAACTTTTAGCAATCATTTCTTAACCAATTTGACCTTGTTTACATAAGCCAAAATCTGTAAGTTTTATATATCCATCTGAATCTATTAAAATATTTTCTGGTTTTAGATCTCTATATAGTATAGATTTCGAATGAAGATATTCAACAGCTAATATTATTTAAGCAACAATGAATTTTGAAGTATATTCATCTAATATTTTTCCTCTTGTCATATATCTTGCTAAATCTCCTGCAGAACAAAGCTCAGTAGCAAAATACAAATATTTTTAAGTCTAGTATAAAATATATAAAAACTTAAAATGCAAAATATAATCGAACAATGAAAGGATGTCTAATACTTTTAAGAATTTGAAGTTCTAAAAGTGTATAATTTAAGTAATCCTACTTTATAAGCATATTTTTATCTTATTATTTTAAAGCAAAATATAAGTTTTTAAATTTAGCCTTATAAACTTTTCCAAAACTTCCTTTTCCAATCAATTCAAAATTTTCAAAACTTGATAAACAAATAGAATATTATTTTTTTAAACCACTTTTTTCTTCAACTAAATCTGTCTCAAATTCTGCTTCACTGACACTTGCTAATGATTATTAAAATTTTTCTTTCTTTTATTTCTATTACTATTATATATATTATTTTTATTCAATTGCAGGTGAATCTAAGATATTCATAATTTAATTTGGCTTTTATAACATCAAACTATAAGCTCTCTAAGCTCTTTTAATTTCATCTATTGAACTTCTTTATAAGAAATTTTAATTAATATATCTAGTATATCCAACACAATTTTTCAAACCTTCATACCATCTTCTAGCTGCATTTTTTTCTTTAAATGCTAGAAATATATGATTAGTTGAATATTTAATTTCTAAATAATAAAAATCATCTTCTTAAAACCATTCATCTTTTGATACTTTGATATCACTTATTTAATCTAAAGCAATAACTTCACTAAAAATATCTTAAAGTTTAATACTTTGGATTATTTGGAATATCTTTTTCAGTTTTAAATCTAACTAATGTACCTGAATCAGGATCAGCTATCATAAATCTTTGATACATTATCAATTTAAAATAATTAACTTTCAATACTTTACCAGTAATAATTGGAGGTCTATTTGGTTTATTAATAATAAAAGTCTCTTTTATACAAAATCATTTTACATCTTTCTATAAATCCTCAATATTTATTCCATTCATTGATTTTATAAAAGAATTCCTATAAACTGTATTTAATTTCAATTCATTTTCATATTTTAATAATTATCTAACTTGAGTACCTGCAATTTCAATTGGTCTTCTATTTTATTTGTCTTAAACACTAAATTTATAAATGATTAACTACTTTACATCAATCTTTGGATGTTATAATAAAGACATTACTATGTCAACTTCATCCATTTAAGAAGCTAAATGTAATGCAGTTCCATGTTTACTTGCTTTATTTATATCTATATCTTACTATCCAATTAAAAATAATACAACTATAAATTATATTATTAGTTTTACTTTTTTTCAGTTTTAAACAAACTGCTAATGAAAGATTTGTCCATCCATCTTTCGTCTCTAAATTTACATCAGCTCCCTCACTTAATAACCATAAAATAATTTTCTCATATCCAGTTACTATAGAAACATGTAAAGATGACCAACCAAATACTGATAAGTCATTTAAAATTAAGTTTTTGTTCTTTTAACAATTAACTAATAAGTTTTTTGCTTTTTGAAAATTGTTTGTCTGAATATATTCATAAAATTTTTCTATGTCATTTTACAAGTTTATTTTTGTATTAGAATTAAATTAATTATTTTTAAAAGAATTACGAAAAGAATCATGTATTGAATTATAGAGATCTGTAGCAAGATTATTAGTATTTTATGACTTTAGTTATTATTTTTAAGAATTAAAAGAAGAATTTATGCTAAATTAATCATCTATATTTTTCACAAATACTATAGATTCCGGGTTAAACTGTATTGAACTTAAATACTAATTTTTTTAAATTTCTATCATTTAAGAATTTGTCAATAAATACAATTTTTGATTAAATACCTCAATTTATGTTACCTTCTATATTTCAGATTATAAATCATTTACTGTTCCTTTAGAAGGCACTTTAATAATACAAATTTATTCTTCTCCCCAATCATTGTAATATTTCAACTTAATTTTCATTTTAATTAAATTTATATTAAAATCAAATGGCTTAGCATTTTAAAGAAATAAGAAAAATATTTTATGTATAGAAATTTTATTTAAACTAAATTTCCCTAAAAAATTCTAGATTGAAAATGGTTAAATTAAAATATTTTAAAAAGTTTTAAAATCTAATACTTGGATGATATAAGTTCAATTCAAGAATTTTATTACATTTTGTCTATTTAATTAAATGTATATTAAAATTATTTTGAAATAAAAATAAAGCATAAATCAATATTCCATCATTTCTCTTTGCTCAGTTGTTAAATGTTCCAATTTTTCTTACTTCATCTTTTATTTTTTAATTGTTTATAATTGTTATTCAAAACTTTCATCCAGTTAAACTTCTATATGACTGGGAGCTTAAAAAGATTGATTTAAAATTGATCCTCTCTTATTTAATTAATATTATTTTTACTTCTATATCTTCTTTAACCTAAATATCATCTAAGTTGATAATTCCATTTTAATTATTCTAATTAGATAGATTATCTTTAAATTATTTCTTAATTTTCTCAAAATCTATAGGAGTTCTTGAAATACATTTTGACAATATTTCTTGAATCTCTGTGTTAATATTGTTTTTTGATAATAAATTTGATAAATCCTAACTTTTAATGAAATTTATATTTACTAAGCTCCAAATCCTTTTTTTTTGTAATTTTGAAACTATGCTCCAAGAAAAGAGTATAAAAGTTCGTTTAAATCTTTAGAGATTTCGTCATCCATAAATGAAATAAGTTTAATTATCATACATAATCTTAATTCTTTATCTTTAAAATTATCAAAATTCACTTTTCTATTAGACTTTGCTAATTTGTTATTTCCTTATTTTATTGATGAATCATCAATTAGATTAGCAATTATTGAAATTATTTGTTAATTAGTTAATCTTCCAGGGATAAAATCAAAAAATTAATTTATTAATGCATTTTCAGATTCATTGTAACTAATCAATACAGAATTTGATAAAAAAAATGCACTTAATCCAATAATATTTGAATTAGGTACAAGATATGAATTAACTTCATTATTTTCATTTGAATTTATTTTACCTGCTTACAGAAATAAAGATGTTAAAATTTATGCACATTTTAATGAAATTGAATGATTAATTTCAGCTATTTCAATTAACATAACTATCATTTCTTCTGTAATAATGATTGTTGAATTAAAGGTTTCAAGTTTCAATATACATTCATGTAAAATGATTAACAAATTAGTTAAAATATCTATATTAATGGCTGTATTATTTATTAAATTTAAATTGTAATTATATGAGAAAGTCAGTGTTTATTATATAAATGACTAAACACTATTTGTATCTGATGATATTTATTTAAGTAATGCAATTAAACAAAGTTTAGTATCATTAAAAGTTTCTTCTTCTGGATTAGACCTGAAATTATTAAGAACAGCTTTAATAGTTTAATTTAATTGAAATAAAATAAACTGATTTGTCTCAATAGAATTAAATAAACTAATTAATAATTTAATGACTGAGTTTTTCACATTTGAAGTCACATGAAAATTTTTATATTCTGAAGTTTTCTTTAACAAAGTTGGACCACTAGGACTTTCAAATGCATTTTTATCATTAGGAGTATCTAAGTAATCAATTAATTTAGTAAATATAAAAAGTTCAGTATTTGATAATTAATGGATCTCCTTAGCTACTTCTAAAACAATATAAGTAATTTCAAAAATATCTTAATGGTTTTTCCAATAATCTTCATCAAAATTATTGAATAACATTTAAAATAATTCTTCATATAATTATTAATTTAAAGCTCTTTCTAAAAATGTTTCTGTTAATTTATGCCAAATAGGTTAAGAAGTAAATTTTTTATGATCTTTAAGCAATATATTAAATAATGCTTTTTAACTTTTAGTCACAAATAATCTTTCTTGCGGAATTCTTAAAAAAGCATTCCTATAAACAGACATAACAAAAAATGGATCTGTTATCACATCTAATAATTCTTAGACTGTTGATGATTCTTCATTTGATTTAGTAACCCATTCACTAAGATAACTATAATTTTTACAAATGATCTTAATATCCTAATTTAGTTCCTATGATAAATTCTAAGAATGTTAAAATGCATTAGATATTCTCACTTTGGAATTACTTATTTGCTTTTTTATTTGAAAAGGATTCCAAAGTTTCTAAAAATTAATTCCACCAAACCCTTTAAGAAATTATATTATTCTTACATTGCATAAGTCATTTTATCATTAATCAGCTAAGAAATTATATTAGAGAAAGCTAATTCAAATTTTAAAAAGTTATCTGATACTTAAGTTAAGGTTTGCAAGTGTTCTATTTGAATAGACCTCTAACTAATTTCAATTTTTGATTCTTCAAGAAATTAATTTTAAACAGTAATCTCTTTCAATTATATAAACTTATCTAAATTAAGTATGAGCTCTTATAATATATGCATGCACATTTTTATTATAATAGGATTTTAAGACAGTTTCTAATTAATTGTTTTTATTATTACTATTTTACTTTCTACATATAATGCAGAATCAATAAGTCTAATTTTATATGATTCTATGTGATCTATCAACGTTTTTACTTCTAACTTAAATTAAGCTTATATCTTTGCCCAGTCAAACTCATTAAAGTATTTCATTATTTCAGATTTCTTGTTGAATTCTTTTAGAGTTTCTTCTCTTGGTACAAGTTCAAAAATCTCAGTCAGAATAGCAGAGAACGTTGGCTATTATAAGTTTCTTGAAGAGCTTCCAATACAGCCCATATTATGAATATATAAATAATATATTTATGATAATCGGTTATTTCATAATATCTCAAACAACTTATACTTAGAAAATATCCAGTAAATATCAAATCAATCTAATTAAAATAAACATCCTTTCAATATTACATCAAAATCAATGATAAAAAAAAGAGCACTATATATTATTATAATTATTTTTTATAATTGCATTATTTTTTAAATCACTACTTTTATGATATTTAAGTTAATTCTTTTGAAACCGCTTACAAATATTATCCATTTAAACTAGTTAGAGCAACAAATTCATTAAATTATTCTAAGATTATTTTAAATTCTGTTTCATATTCTAAGGATTCAATGAAAAAAGCAATAGCCGTTCTTTTAAATGGTGCTGGTTTCTTCATTTACTAAAAATATCCAATAGTTAATACACAAGAATTATCTTCTTAAATAGATGATGATCCACCTTTAATCTAAATTTTAACAATTAATAATTACTCCAACATGATCATATTATCTAGACAAAGCAATATTTTACATAGAAACATATCCCATAAGATCATAGAAATATTAATAGAATTTCTCATTAAAATACAATTAATTATTTAATTTATCAAGTAATTTTGAGTATTCTAATGTTGTTGATTTTGTAAAATATTTTACTTGAACTCTTAATACTTCTGCATCTAATAACTATTTCCCTCTACTCAAATACTCTTTCGCAATATTATTATTTAGTATCAATTGATCATGTATTTCTAAACTCTTTTATTGCACTTAATCAAATGATAGATTTTATATTTATTTTATGAATTCTCCTTTTGATATTTAACCATCATTTGTGAAGACTAATAAAAATGAGGTTAAATAAAAGATTTAACTTTATTTCAACCCAATTCTATCAACAGTTGTTTAAATTGATTATAAAGTAAGTAATGTTTAAATAAATTCAGTACAAGCATTCGAACTAAGAGCTATCATTCCTATTGCAATTTCCTTTAATTATAAAAGACCATTTATTATCTTACCTTATTATTCCCAAATTTAAATAAAATTTGTATGTGATATATCTAAATCTTAAATGTAATATTTATTAACATCATTTAATTTAATCCAATCTTCATCATTTATCTTACCATCACTTAATTGCTTGCAATATTCAATAGCAACATTTATCTTAAAAACACTCATTAATGATTATTCTCTTGAGCCAAAATAATTTGCAATAATGTTACCATCTGCTATAGAAGAAAAAGAAAATTTATTAGGATATTAAATAATCCAATCAATCATAGAAGCTTATTTATGATCATTCATACTGAAAGCACTAATTAAATTATTTTGATCGTATGTCCAAAATAAAGTACCAGTTCCCAAATGTTTCTCAAATCCTAGCAGAACACTTGGTTATTCAGGATTAATAGTAGAATCAGACCAGTAACAAATATTTCCCTATCTATCCCTTATTTCTTCAATCTACATAGAAAATATTTCTAATGAAATTGCCTTCTAGGTCTCTTCAGAAAATAAACTATAAATTTAATTGGCATTTCCTTAAAATATATTTTTCTTTTTTACCATCATTAAATGCGTTCTTGATTTTATCAAAAAATGTTTGGTTTTTCTCATCAAAAAGGACAAAAGCTTCTTAAAGAGGATTTATCATATTTTATCTAAAAAATAATACAACATAGATTAATGTAATTTTTGTATATGGAATAGAATTTAGCATTAAAATTCAATATTATATATTTCGATATTTATATATAATATTTCAAACAGTATTCATAAAAGCTGTTTTATTTAAATGCCACAGAATTTAAATAAAGGCCATTTATACTTAACATATTCTTAAAATTCTCAAATCTATTTGTGATGGTTAAGAATCATCCCAAAAGAGATTCTCTATAGATATTAAATATGAAATTTTTTAAAAAGGAAATACATATTAAACCTCAAAAATTAAGCAAATAAAGAAAATACATTTAATTTTAAGTACTTCTTATAATAACATTTTATTTTTTACGATCAAACATTAGAATTACTTAAGATATATATCTTTAGAGAGAATGATAAACTTATTGATATCATCTATAATCTTTTTAAATCAATTTTTCATTTGCTTAATTTGAATATACCATGTCTATTGTGATTTTATATACATTCATTAAATCTTAGTCTCTGATTCCAAAATAATAAAAATAGACTTCTATTTATAAAGGTTGTTTTATCTAAATTATTCAAAAAAAATTCAATGAAGATTGAGAAGATGAAATAAAGCTAATCTTAAAAAATTCATTCAACATCTTAATTTTTTACCAATCCTATTATTAATTTGATTTTTTTATAATTTTTGAAAATAAGATATATTTATTTCATCAGAATTTCAAATTTATTTCAATAAAAAATTAATTAGTTTTCTCTAAATTTGTATTTAATTTTTAAGAAACTCATATTAAATAAATAAATTATATTATGAAACCACAAATATGTTTATTAGGGATTTAGAAATTTGCCAAAGATAAATAAGTTTTGAAATAATTATAAGAATAATTAGGAGATAAATTTATCAATCCTACAGAAATTATTAAACCAAAAATGAAGCCATTTTGTTTTTTGTAATTTATTGATGAAGATTAAAAAAATGTATTTATTTTAATTATAGTAAGAAATTTGTTAAATTGATTGAGGAAAACCCAGAATTAAAGCTTAGAATTGGAGAAGTGCATAATGAAAATGCTTTTGAAAAATAATTAGAAAAGAAAATAAAATAATAAAAATAAAATGAAGATGAAATAAAATAATTTTAAGAAAAGCATTAAAATAGAGATGTTATTGAAAGATAAGAGAATGAATTAGCGTTATAAACTGCTCCTCTTTATTAAGTAAAATATGAAGAATAGATTGAATAAAAAATGTGTGAACTTAAAAAGGTAATAAAAAAATTAAAAAATTAATTTATATAAAAAAATGGAAAAGAGTATGCACCAGATTGGATTTTAGAGTAATAATTGATGAAATAAATAGTACTAATTTAATTAAATTAAATGATCCAGTTACTTGTGAAGAATAATTTAGATTTAATTATAGAAATAAAAGTGAATTTACAATTAGTTATAATAGTCAAAAAGAAGTGAGCGTTGGTTTTAATGTGGGTTCAATTCAAAAAAATAATGATAGTGTAGAATAAGTAATAAAAACATATATTAAAGCCAAATACATGTCCTGTTACACCAGCGATAGCTATTGAAATTGCTAATTAATTTTAGACTTATTTATAATCGTCTAAGTATTAACCTTTTAATAGATAAAATGGAAGTGGAGTTTGGAGGATGTTAAGTGTTAGAAAAAGTGATAGGACTAAATAATTATTAATAAGTATAAGCATAAATAAAGATAATATAACTTAAGAAGAGTATACTTTGATTAGTGAAGAATTAATCAAATTATTTAAGACTAATTATGGAGAGTATAATTTAGAAGGATTATTATTAATGCATTCGAATAAATTGGGTTAGGATTTAGCCAGTTCTGTTGAAGATACTAAAATATTATATGGTAATTCATACTACCAAGAAATTATTTTAGATAAAAAAATCAATATATCTTATAATGCATTTTCTTAAAATCATACACCTTAATGTGATAAATTATATTAAACTATTATTGATCTTTGCAAAAACAAAAAAATTACAAAATTTTTAGACTTATGTGCTGGTAGTGGCACAATTGGAATTTGTGTTAGCGACTAAATTTAAGATATTTTAGCAATTGAAATGAATGAATCTTCATGTAAAGATGCAACTGAAAATTATAAACTAAACAATCTTTAAAATTGTTAGATTATTTGTTCTAAGGTGGAAGATGTAATTAAAAAAGTTGCATAAGATTTAAAAAGCTTTTAAGGAAAATAACAATTAATGGCTTGTCTAGATCCTCCAAGAGCTGGAGTTCTTAATAATGTTATTGAGGCTATCAGAACATGTAAAGGTATAGATCACATTATTTATGTTTCTTGTTCTCCTCCTTAAGTCATTGATAATTTAATTTAACTATGCTTACCTTAATCTAAAAGGAATAAAGCACCAGGATTTAAATTAGTAAATGTAACATTAGTTGACATGTTTCCATAAACAAGCCATTTTGAAGCAATATTCTATTTAGAAAGAGATTATGGCATTTTATCTGAACTGATGTGATATAATTTATGATTGTTTTGTAAAATAATAAATTAATAGGATATAATATAACAACTTTCACATAATTCTATAGCTCTATATAAATAATTGAAATATAACATTCATATATGCTTTGTTTAACTGCAATCAATAAAAATTAGGGAGGACTTAAACTTAAGCACTTTTTTCATTTTTGTTAAATTTAACATTCATTCATTTTTTTTATGAATTCAATATCATTTTTCTAATTTTTTTTACATTCTATAGTTTCTTAAATAATCTCATATTTGGCTTATTAATCTTTTTATGCATTTAAAATGATATTGGCAGCTCTTAATTTTTAAATACAAGTTTAAAACTTAGTTTTTTTTAAAGAAATTTATGTCCTTTTTCAAATCAAAATGTCCTCAAAATTATTAATAAAAAAAAGTTACTTTTTTTTGGTTTTAAATATTTATTTAAGTGTTAAGGAGTTAGAAGTCCTTATTATATGGCTTTTTTTTCCATTTAATAACTCTAATAAATATGATTAAGCTATTTTTTTTATTCCCACTTTTTTAAACCTGACCGAGTAGATGATTTAAGATTATTGGATTCAGATATATTAATATGTTTTCCGGTTTGATGAATATCTTAAATGAAAGTGCTCAATTTTATAGATTATTAAGTTTTAAGTTATTTCAGAGTTTAAATATTTCTGATTTTCATCTTAAAATCTTAAATTTATTAATTTTAATCTAATATTTTAGAATAATAAATAATTTTTTTTTTAAAATAAATTCTAATAATATTTAGAATAATAAAGAGAAGAATTAATGTCAGATAAATTTGAATATAATAATTAATTGGTTCAATACGGGTTTTTAAGCAAACAATTTCCTGTTTCAATAAAGGCTAGATAACTCTCAAATTATCCATTAATTATGGCATCATTATTAGTAATCACAAATTATGTTATAAGAGTAAAAAAAATTTCCACGAAAGGCACAGTTTGACTCTCCTTTAAGCCGAAAGACTTCTTCTCATTCATTTAAGAAATAATTGAGTATAAAAAGAATATCTACTTCTAAGAGGAAAAACTAAATTTATGAAGATGCCTTATTTATAACTTTGAAGCCTTTGACAACTAATCAACAAATCAATTTAAGAGCTTAGACTGCTCATTAACTTAGAATAGAATAGGAAGGTTTTAAAGAAACTAGAGATAATAGAAAATTACGGTCTTGTCAATCAAATAGAGCATCTTATTTTTTTCGTTAAAGAAACAGATCTGCTAACTATCATTAAAATTAACAGCAATTCAAAATAACAAGAAATGGTAAAGTTGAATTTTTATGAATTTTTAATTAACTTTATTTTGTTTTTTGCAATAACTTATGTATAATAATATAAAATCTTAAGAAAAGTGAAAAAGATATTGAAAAATAAAATTTATTAATCTAGATCCAATCATTTGAGAATTTATCAATATTTTGAAAAAATAATCAACCAAATAAAATAATAAGTAATGTTTGTCTATTTATTGATGAACTTAGTTAAATTTAAAAATGATTATTTGAAAAATGAAGTTTATTTTAAATAGTATAATAAAATTTATTTTGTATTATGTAATATGTGAAGATACTTTATATAAGAGATGAATAACATAATAGAAGAAATATGAAAATAAATGGTAATGAGGAGTTAGAAAAGGGGAAACATGTAAAATGGCGTCATCAAGAATCATAAAGTGAATTGAGTTTTGATGATGACACATTTTTATATAATAAAATTTATTGAGAAGAAAGTATTAAATAAGCAAATGAATGATATTTGATAATTAAATTTTAATTAAAAATGGCATCGCAGCTATAGGAGAATCTTTTGGTTGGAAGTTCTTTTTCTGATTTTGGAATGACAGCAAAAGAATTATCGTAAAATATATATAAAATATAAAGCAACTTATTTACCCCAGACAATGTGAGAGATGGATCAAGTTTAGCAGTATTGGCTAGACATGGAAAGATTGAAGGTTTGATGAAGAAGTTGAGAACAGATTAAAAGGTAAATTAAGAAATAAATAATTTTAGAAAGGATTAGATGGTAGTAATATAAATGACATGGAATTGAGAGTGAAGAAGTAATATATAAATATATAATATATTAGTTTTGGTGATAATAAACCTGAAATAAAAGAGCCAAAAACACTTCTGGAATATGTAAAAATGAAAATTGATAGAATAGATCCTTGAAAATTTTGAAGATTAAATGTTAAGAATATTATGTTTAGCAGCAGCAGTAAATTTAATTATAGGAGTATGGACAGAAGGATGGAAAGAAGTAATAATATATAAGATTTGATTAGGGATGGATGGATGGAATGGCTATTTTTATTGCAGTTATTATTATAGTATCAGTAACAGCAGGAAATAATTATGTGAAAGATTAATAATTTAGAAAATTAAATGCTATAGCAGAGAATAGAAATGTAAATTTAAGAAGAGGAGGAAAAATAGTTAGTACTAATATTTATGAATTGGTTGTTGGCGATATCATGATTGTAGATACAGGTGAAAAATTACCAGTTGATGGAATTGTTATTGAATCAAGTGATTTAACAGCTGATGAATCTTCAATCACAGGAGAAACTAATCCTATTAAAAAGAATGTTCCTATTACTTATGATTAAAATGAAAAAGTCAATCCATTTTTAATTAGTGGTTCATCTATTATAGAAGGAACAGGTGAAATTCTCATCTTGGCAGTTGGAGAAAATTCTTAATGGGGAATCTCTAAAAAATTAATGACATAATAAACTAAAGATGATAAAACACCATTATAAGAAAAACTTGGTATTTTAGCAGATTAAATTGGTGAATATGGTATGAAAGCAGCTGTCATTACATTTGTTGCAATGACATTGCATTTACTCTATGATGCAGTGTTTAATGAATATCCATTATTTTCATCTCATGCTATTAAAGAAATATTAAATTTCTTTATTGTCTCTGTTACTATTATTGTTGTTGCTGTTCCTGAAGGATTACCATTAGCTGTTACAATAGCTTTGGCTTATTCTGTTGGTAAAATGAAAGATGAAAAAAATCTCGTTAGATTCTTATCTGCTTGTGAAACTATGGGAGGTGCAAACAATATTTGTAGTGATAAAACTGGAACATTAACAGAAAATAAAATGACTGTTACTAATTTATATATTGAAGATACAGATTTTAGTAAACTTGATCCTAAAGCTATCAAAAATTAAACATTAGACTTACTATGTGAAGGTATCTGTTTAAACTCAATGGCTCATCCATAAATAGATGAATCAGGTAAATTTGAACATATTGGAAATAAGACTGAATGCGCTTTATTGGAAATGTGTTACAAATTTGGATATGATTTCAGATCAATAAGATAGACTTTGGGAGAAAAGATCAAAAAGAAATTCCCTTTTAGTTCAGAGAAAAAAAAGATGACTATCATATTAGATCCAAAGGGAGACAAAACATAATTCAAAATTTTTACAAAAGGTGCACCAGATATGCTTTTAGAAAAATGTTCTCATTATATAAATGCAGAAGGAAAGGCTGTTGTGTATTGATAATTTTATTAATTGTTAGGATTACAAATGACTATAAATAGAAAATAAATAGTGTGATTAAGAATTATGCATCATAATCATTAAGATCAATATTATTATTGTATAGAGAAACAATGATCTCAGGTAGACCATCAAAGCCAGAAGATTTTAATAATTCAGAAGATTTGATTGATAAATCATATACAATAATAGGAGTAACTGGATTATAAGATCCATTAAAAGAAGGAATTATAAAAGCAGTTTAATAATGTAAAGAGGCCGGAGTAACAGTAAGAATGGTAACAGGAGATAATTTTGATACAGCAGTAGCAATTTCAAAGAAAGCAGGAATATTACCACTAAATTATGAACATCATGAAGATTCATTAGCAGTAATGGAAGGAAAGACATTTAGATAAATGGTAGAAGGTTTAGAATATGAAAAAGATTAAGAGGGAAATGATATACCAAAAGTTAAAAATTTGTAGAACTTCACAACAATAGCTTAAGAATTGAAAGTTTTAGCTAGATCTTCTCCAGAAGATAAATTTTTATTGGTGACTGGATTAAAATAACTTGATAATGTTGTAGCAGTGACAGGAGATGGAACAAATGATGCCCCTGCATTAAAAAAAGCAGATGTAGGATTTGCTATGGGTATTTAAGGAACAGAAGTAGCTAAAGAAGCAGCAGGTATTATTTTATTAGATGATAATTTTGCTTCTATTGTAACAGCTATGAAATGGGGTAGAAATATATTTGATTGCATAAGAAAATTCTTAGTATTTTAAGTTACTGTAAATGTAGTAGCTGTATCAATGGCATTTTTAGGAGGAGTCTTCTTAAAAGAATCTCCATTAACCAGTATTTAAATGTTATGGGTTAATCTAATAATGGATACTTTAGCTTCTCTTGCTTTAGCAACTGAACCTCCTACTGACGAATTGTTAACTCGTAAACCATATGGAAGAAAAGAACATATGATTACACCAGGAATGTGGAGAAGCATTTTATGTTAAGCAGCTTTCTAACTCTTTGTTCTCTTAATCATTTTATTCAATGGAGATTCTCTCTTTGGAATTGAATCTAGTAGAGGACATAGATTAGATGAAGAATATAAGTAATTATCTATTGCTATTTAGTCCCATCTATCAAGAACATTATACTATATTCTTCCATATCTTTGTATTTTTATAAGTCTTCAATGAAATCAATGCTAGAAAATTAAAAAAAACAGAATTAAATGTATTTGAAGGATTCTTTAACAATTATCTTTTTATTGGTGTTGTTGTTGGAACTATTGTTGTTCAAATTATTCTTGTGTAATCTATTATATTTCTATTTATTAGTTAATATGGTGGAAAAGCTATTAAAGTCACACCCTTAGATTTTGCCCATCATATTATTTGTATCTTGATAGGTATGCTCAGTTTAGCAGTTGGTTATTTTATCAAATAAATTCCTGATTAATATTTCCAATCCATTGAATTATTCAAAGAATAAGTTGTTCCTGAAGCTGACCCAGAAACTATTTAAGTATTTAATCTTTTTTCTATCGTTTTAGGGTAAATTCAAAAGACCCTCTACATTCCTAAGAAAGAAGAAAGCAATTGAAAATAAATAACCTCGTAAAGGTTCCTAGGAAATAGAAATGAAGGGAGGAAGCAGTGGTTTTAAATGAAATTTTATTATTAAGATTAAGAATTTAAATTATAATATCAAATCTCAAGGTTATAAAAATGACTTCTACTAAGCATATTTTATGAATGATTAAGTTAATTAAGTTTAATCTGTATAAATGTAGAAGCTTATGGTATTTTTATACAATGTTTGCTATTAAATTAAATCTATCATTGAAGGGAATACTATAAATGCTTATTAGCATTAATTTTCACAATATATATTTTAAGAATATTAAATTGAATTGTACGGACCAATCTTTTTCGCTAAAAAATTTGTTATGGGATGATTTAGTTCAAATTCTTAATTATTATTGAAATGATAATCCTCATAAGTTTATGGATTTAAAATTAATGTGTTTTCTGACTATAATAAGACCTTTTTATTTGAAAAAAAAGTGAACTCAAATTTAACAAGTTTTTAAAATTCAACTTTAGTAGGACTTTCTTAGGATTCTTCAGCAACCTTTTCAATAAAATCTAATTCTTAGAGACATTTTTTATCAATAATGTTATTTTGTAATGGATTTAGATTTAATTCATTTGTCACATTAAGACTTATAGTAGAATTGGAATCGGATTATTTCAAACATTGTTCGAAAATATTAAAAACTATTTATGATAAAAATTTTGAATTAACTTTAATCATATAATCCTCTAAATTTAAATGAGAAAGAAATTTCTTCTTATTTTTCATACTCATATATGAAAAATGGTGTTGTATATTTATGAGAAAATTTTTTAGATTTATTTTGCTATAAGACGCTATAAAATTGTTAATTTGAGTTGAATTGACGAAAAAGTAAAAGTTTTAAAAATGATTCATTATGGATAAGTTAATACATTTAATCTACCAAATTTTATTATTATCCATAGAGTTTAACTTTAATCCTAGTATTTCTTTATACAAATGCTAGTGTGAAGCTGAGAGTTGATTAGCAGCAAATTAAATAATCTTGCTTAAAAATCTAATTTATTCTTCGCTTTTAGACAGCATCTAAGGTTATTTTTCTTCTTTAACTACAATTAATAAATAGTTCTTGCCATAATTAATCGTTTTAATATCAATACTGACAATAATATTTATTTCTTTCAATTAATTATAAAATACACCTTCCATAACTTCAGTTTATTCTGTTGCTGCTTACTAATTTACTGATAAATTTTCCTTTATCTTATAAAATGCATATTCCTCTAAAGTTTATTTTTTATTGACCAAGCGTCTCATGGACAAATCACCTGATCTTTGGATGTTAATATTTTATAGATCAATACAAGTAGGAATTTAACCTTTGGGAACAACAAAGGTATTTCTCATCATTTCAATCAAAGTTTTGTTATCCTCAACATTTAAATTTGTAATGCTTATTTGATTTTGAAATTCAAGTTGGAATTGATTATTTCTGATATTAAGACTTAATGCTAAGAAGGAATGTGGAATATATTCCTTAATGATGTCTCTAAATATAATAATAAGAATTTTACTTCAATTTAAGATTGTAGGTCATGTAAGAGAATGCCAATCGAAACATGAATTCATTATAATGAGAGTAGAGCAGAATCAAAAATTGTGTAGTGAAAGTAAGGATAATATATCCAAAATGTTGGACAGTAAGTACATCTAAAATATAAAGTTGAACTAAAGGGACTAGTATAAGTGTAAGTAGGCGTAATTTAAAATGACTAAAGAGGAATTGTATAATAGCAATTGTAGCAGATGAGTATCCATAAAGAAATGGTGATCTTATATAATAAAAACTACAAAATACTTTTCCATAGTTTAAGACGCAACACACAAGCTTACAGTAACAGATGTTAAGTACATTAAAAAGTAGTAATATTGAATTTTGGAGGCACATTTGCGACCATAAATTAAGGCAAAGAAAATGGCAATGCTTGAAACTGCTAAAATGACGATTACAATAATCTATCTTCCTTCCAGCAAATTTAAAATGAAGAATAGGATGCATAATAGCAAAATGATTATTTCTATAATCGTAAAGTATGATTGTCTGTATTTATTCATTTCCACTTAATATAGATCTTCATATTGTTTGTTTTAGAAGTTCAGGGTCCATTTATTAAATGGTAAATTATTCATAATTATATGATCAGCTGCATGACAAAGAATATAACAAAATTATACTCAATCCAACCTAGACTCCCAGAAATCCATACCCAACTTTTCGACATATTGACTCAAATTCTCCACTCATTGGAACTTCAACTATGCTCATGGCTATAAACAATCCACCCAAAAAACCTCCCAACTCTCCCAAATTATCATAATAATTATTCTATCCTGATCCAAAAGTGAACATCATTACAAAAATTACAACTATTGCTACAAAACACACTACAACACATTTCATATCTCCTAATGCATCTAATTTCTGCCAATATAGAATTATATACTATTAAATTTTGATAAATTATCTACCCCTATTAAAAATCCTACACAAGCATAAATACATGCAAATGCTTCTGAATAAGTATCTTATTTGCATAAATTACATAAGTCTCCAAATAGGGCACCACTTGCTCCTCCTCCAAAAAATAATATTATTGTTAATTATAATCCTTGTGTAGCTTCTAAAAGTGAATAGCATATAAATATCATAAATATTGCTATCACCAAATTGTAGAAGTCTCCTATCAAAAGCAATGAAGTCACCCATCTGAATATTTCAAAATTATATTTCACATCATTTGGATTATTTCCTCCAAAATTATTCAATGTTGTTTTATATACAGATAAAAATCGATCACTTTTATTCACTCCCCCTACTCCTAACATTGTAATATAAAGAACTATTATCACTGCTGAAATTATTGTTGCAAAAGAAATTAGTTTAAGTTTTGGACAGAATGATTTTTTAAGCATGTCAAAAAAATTCTCACCTCTTGGATCTGAATCAATTCCTCCTAATCTCTATTATCAACTTAATTACCAAACATTGACATGATCTATGAACCTCCAGCACCCCTAAAGTTCTGATAATTATTTTACTAATCATTATTATCACCTAATCTATGTATATTTGCCATTTTTTATTTAAATTATTCAATTATTAGATTATAAAAATATACATTTCACAACTACAATATAGAAGACGAAAAAAAAAATGATAAAAATATTTATTATTCCTTTTATTGTTTATTTTTTTAATGAAACAAATACAAAATTAAACAATAAATGTTATATAATATTTTGATAAACCATTGCAATAATTGTCCTACTTAAACATATAAAGACCTCTCTTAATAATTAATTTATCTATTATGAATTCAAAACATCCTGTTGAATTATTGAAGAAAAAGATCGATCCTGAAGCCATTATGTACAAGTTTAGATGGAGTAACAACTCAGTATCAATTGAACCTATGACACAATTAACTCCAGAAATGTTGGTTCTAGTTCATGATTATGAACTTAAATAATTAGGACATGATCCTTAAGAGCCTAAACCTCAAAAACATATTAAATAAGATACTCAAACTATTAGTCAAAATAATAATGGGAAAAAACCAGAAGAACAAAAAAGAGAAAAAAGATCTAATGATAAAGTTGATAAACCAGAAAAAATTGTTGAAAAAACATAAGAAAAACATACAGAAAAGCAAAAATAATAATAACAATAGAAAGAACTTGATAATGTACTCAATACCAATACAGGAAATGGTCCTCATAAACCAAGAAAGAGCAAACCATGTTAAGTAAAATAAGTTAGACATGATAATGGAAGAGTAGATTTTTTGGTGTGTTTCGAAGATTCAACTGATTAAAAGTGGATTTCATTAGATGAAATGAAAGAAAAGGCTCCAGTAGCTGTTTGCGAGTTCTTATTAGGAAAAGTGAAATATGGAGGGACAATGAACAAAAAATGATTCCATAATTA